TTATTTAACGTTATGTAATTGTAATATTAACTGTTAACGCTGTTTTTTTTATTGTATTCTCACTTTTATTATTTGTATGTATAACAATATATATATATATATATATATATATATATATATATATATATATATTGCTTTTATAATACGGCCACGAATAAATATTTTTACATAATAATAATAATAATAATAAATAAATAAAAATTAAATAAAATTTATTTATTATTCTTATTATTATTATTTTTTTTTTATTTTAAATTCGTTTCTCCATCCTTGGTCATATTAAACACATACATGTACAAAATTTTGCTTTAAAATATAGTTATTTCATAATTTAAATTTTATTCCTATTAATACATAAGTTAAACATGAAAAATATGTGATTTTTTTTTCTGACCAATCACGAGTAAGAATGGCGAGCGCCATAATTTTCTCATTATGTATACAAAGCACGCCATTGGTTAAAAATTGTATTGAAAATTGCATATACTCTAAATGCAAGGCGTTGAAGCGAAGCGAAACTATCGAAAAATTGAGACCTCCTAAATATTATGTTTTACTGATACTCGGGACCAATTTTTCACTCAATTTTTGCGATTTTTTTTCGTTTGCCTTACTTTTGTGAGTTATGCAATTTGTCGTGTTTTTGCGTATTGCAAATTGCATAACCAAAATTTTTAAGGATTTTTGAATTTTTTCGATTTTTTCTGTTCGCCTTACTTTTTTGAGTTATGCAATTTGTTGGGTTTCGCGTATTGCCAGTTGCATAACCCAATTTGTATAAAAATTTCTTTTAAGTTTTTCTTTTATGGGAATAAATGAATGATATAACCAAACATGCATGATGGGAAAAAAAAAAAAAAAAACAAATTTTATTTTTTTTTTAAATAATATATTTGAGAGAATAAATACATATATTACTATATTATTATTATGTTCACCATTAAACACGACAAGGCTCTTATTTGTCGGGGTTATAATCGTTTGTGGCAAATTTAGTAGTTTATGTGTCACGATTAAGAAAAATATACATACATGTATTTTATACATATATATGTATATAATATAAACGTGGCCAAATATAAATCAAACGTTCAATCATCACTCAAAATTTAATTACAGGTTTAAAACGAGGTCCCTTCTATGAAGACAAACAACCGAACCTGATTTTTTCTAATTATTCCTCTTTCTCGCCTTTTCCTCCCTCCCTTCCTCCCTCCTTCCTCTTCTTGCCTTCTCGCTTTTTCGTACTTTTTTCCAAAACGAAATTGTAGCCATTATTTAAATTATTTGAAAATATAACAGAAACGTTTTTGTCAAGTTGTTTTGCACCTCTACTCTCCTCTCCTCCTCCCGCGCACAGGAAAAATCCAAAAGGTAGACATCATCTTGTTTCGCTGTCTAATACTGTCACTACTGAATGTACCGGCTCGTCTTTACTGGTCCTTTCTTAAATGAAAGAAAAAAAAATAATAACAATTAGTAAAGACAAATGTAAAAACTTTATAAAAAAAAAAAAAAAAATTTTCTGTTGTTTCATCCGCGTTCTACCTACTTACCATCGAGTAAAAGACGTCATTTTCGTTCTATACGAAAAACCAAAAAATAAGATTAAAAAACGAAAAGAAAAACTCGAATTTCCCAAGCATTGTGCGCTGCGAAAATCATTTCGACCGAAAATTCTTTTTTTTCCTATTTTCTTCTTCCTTTTCTTTTTCTTTTCCTTTTGGTTTTTTCTTTTTCCACCTCCTCCTCCTCCTTCTTCTTCTTTTTTCCTCTTTCCAATCAATCATCTTCGTCTTTGTCATCGCTATTCGTGTACTTTGGTTGAGTTTTCCTCCTTCTCGTGCTTCCTCTTCCCTCTCCTCCTCTTCCTCCTTTTCCACTTTTTATTTTTATTTTCATTCTAACGGATTCCGATTCGGAATTTCCATCCTCGTCGTCCACCGTCTGAAAATTTAAAAAATCAAAATAAATAAAATTCGACAAATAATAAAATCCGAACGACGGGATTCTCTCTTCATCACCTTTATCCTCATCCGTTTCCGCATCCTGTTCCAATCTTTGTCTCGCGTTCGTAAACACGGATTGAAGGACGATTGAATCTTCGTGTATGAGAGAAGGTTCTTCGTTGTATATTTGAGCATTTTTACACATTTGAGTAAAATCCTTTTCCAAATCGTCAAAATCCGAATACTGAAACAACAATGACAAGAGTCAGAATGAAACTTTTCCCCCCTTTTTTTCCATTTCCCTCCACCTCCTCCCCCAAGCTTACTTTTCCATCTTCTATCCTGTTAAATATTTTCTTTATATCCAAAGGTTTTTTTATTATGTCGTAATAATCCGGTAATTTATTTTTAGAAGGTAATTTCATGAAAAATTCGCTGAGAATTCTTCCATCGCTAAAATTAAAACCAACAAAAAAGTTAAACACGAGAGAGAGAGAGAGAGAGGGAGAGGGAGAGAGGTCATTAGGTCAATGATTGATTACCTTTCTTTCCGCTTCTAATTTTTACTGTTTCTCAAGTTTTTCAGTTCCTCATGCTTCTCTCAAACCTTGATGTTTGGTTCGTTTGTACGCTTTTACATTGACGGCAGTTTCTAGCGTGGTATCGCGACGCGTACAAGCTATAATCTAAAAGACAAGCTATAAATTAAAAATAAATTTACAAGAAAATTTGTTTAAATTTAATGAAAAATAATTGTTTTTTTTTCTCTTTAGTTTTAGGAGCAAAAAAACTGGTCCAATGCAGTTTTGACAACCTCATTGTCATTTTGGAATTTTTGTCCATTCAAAAAATTTTTTAGGGATCAGAAAAAATGTTAATTATTTGGAGCTAGTTTGGGACTATATGAAGGGTGCAGCAAAACATCCCAGCCTAGCTCCAGTAGTTTTTGTCCAGTGGCTAAAGACAAGGAGGGCCTGGCATTATCGTGGTGAAAGACAATTCCTTTGCTATTGGCTAGCTCCGGTCGTTTTTCTTGGATGCTATCATTTAAATTTGTCAATTGTCGAATGTAAACCTCTGAATTTATGATCTGATTTTGTGAAAGCAGCTCAAAGTCGACTATGCCTTTGTAATCCCACCAAAATGATAACAATAACTTTTTTGGTGAATGTCAGCCTTAGAAGTTCTAAGGTGCCTGTTTCCTTGCCTAGACCAGGATCTTTTTCTCAAAAAGTCATCATAAACAACCTACTTTTCATCTTCGATGACCATTCTTTCAAAAAAGGGTCATTCGCATTGCATTTAAGAAGCATATCGCAAAGACCCATCAAGCTTCTTTTGGTACCCAAGACGCCACAAACGGTTTTTGACGCACGTATGTGACTCATCTAGCTTCTTTACAATGTCCTTAGTCGAACTATGCCGATCATAATCAATGAGGGCCTTTATTTGCTCATCATTAACCTCCAATGGACGCCCGGACTACTCCTCATTTTTCAAAGGAAAATCTCCAGAACGGAATTTCGCAAACCAGTTTTGACACTGCCGTTCTATTAAGGTTTCATCCCCCTACACAGCCCACAACTTTTTATTGGCTTGTGAAGCATTAACACCCTTTCAGAAATAAAAAAGCAAAATATGAAGGAAATGCTCGCTTTGGCTCCCCATGTTTAAATGTCTTTTGCTCGCGCACTATTTAAGAGTTCATTGAAATTTTGGTACTGAATGTTACAGAAGGAACCAAGTAATAACATACCAAAAGTTCATGTTTGTACATAAACGTAAACGTACTCAAAAAAATGGACAAACTATCTCTTAGTAAAATGCGAAGTTACTTACTGGCCAACCCAATAATTTACATAAAACAAATTATTTAACGAAAATATTCATGTATTGGCTACATTAAAAGCTTCCATATTTTTATAAGTTCCACGTTAAAGTGAAATACATTTTTCTAATGACACTTTATTTACCATTGATATAATTAAGTTTAAATTGATGTCTATGGTTGTTTACATATATTACTATTATTTTTACTATTTCCCATTGAGAGTTATTTTTCCTGTATTAATTTCAAATAAAAATCGTAAAATTTGTTTTTAAAGAAATTACAAAATGCACGGGAGAGTCAAAATAAGAACGACAGAAGAAGAAAAAGACATCGCAAGGCAAGAGAAACAGAAAAAGGCAATAGAATTTAAAAAAATAATGAATCAAATATTCATTAAAAAATTCATTCAGAAAAACGTTCTTCACAAATTCAAGACGAAGAAGGTTTAAATCTCACTGGTAATTTATTAACAGGAAATCCGGATATAATAACATTATGGAATTATAGAAGAGAAATATTTTTGTCGTTTAAAAACGACGAGGATTTGGAAAGTTATCAAAAACTATTGGAAAAAGATTTACAATTGACAGAACAGTGCCTGAGAGTAAATCCAAAATCCTATGGTAGTTGGCATCTTAGAATATGGATCTTGGACAATTTACCCAAACCTGATTGGAACAAAGAATTAAACCTTTGTACAAAGTATCTTCAATTAGACGAAAGAAATTTTCACTGTTGGGATTATCGTAGGATAGTCGCAGAAAGATCAAATGTTTCTCATTTATCTGAATATGAATTCACTCTAACATGAATACTGTATTAAATTATGTATGTATATGTACATGTGTAATTATGGGAGGCAGGACCGAAAGTGATACCTCGGGAATGCCTCCCACATGGTTGAGAGGAGTATCCCAATTGGGTGGAGCAAATCTCTGCAACGGCCTATGCCGGAGGGGAATCTGCTCTCACCTTTGCGAGTTCGGATCTGATGATTTCGGCTTTGAGAGAAGGGTTGAGGTTGAGGCTGAAATGGGAGTTATACTCCTGCGACTGAAGGATATGAGTTGGTACCGGGAGGCAGGAAAATCACCCATATGCTGTATATGGATGACTTAAAAATTTATGAAAAAAATGAAGAGGAGTTAAATAAAATGCTAAAGACGATTCAAACTTTTTCCTCTGACATCAACTTGAAATTTGGTTTGGAAAAATGTGCCAGAGTTAATATTGTCAGAGGAAAGTTAAAACGGAAGGAAAATATAGAAGACTCTGAAGAAGAACTTATTAAAGAACTGGACCCTGGATCAACATACAAATATCTGGAGATTGAAGAAAATTTTGGGGTAGCCAACAAAGAAATTAAACCTCGATTAAAGAAAGAATATTTTAAAAGATTGAGGCTCATATTACAGTCGGAACTGAATGGAAGAAATAAGTTAAACTCCATCTGCACATTAGCTGTTCCAGTAATAGAATACAGTTTAGGCCTTGTAATTATATATATATATATATATATATATATATTGTTGTGATCATGTGAGCAAATGTTTATAATTTTATATTATTTATAAATAATAACATTGGAACTATGGTTACCAAGTGTTTATTATGGAAAAGAAGCTTCTAGAAACTTATTCTTCTGTTTGTTTACAAACATAGTTATTCATTTCATAGAAACATAATAATAACAATGAGTTCCACCTATAAAAGGAAGCAAGATACAACGGGAGAAGTTCTTCTGATTCCCTAATGTCCTGTGAACGTTACACCTTATTAATGATTGTGTTAGTGAGAGTGACGGTTAAAGGTTACTTTATGTTATCCGTGATATGAGTGATAATCCTTTTTGTAATAATGCTTGCTAAAGACAATATAGAAAAATGTTCATAACAATATATATATATTGTTGTGATCCTGTACACAATGTTCACATTTTTCAATTTTTTTATAAACAAAAGACTAATGATGAACTCAAATTGTTCTTCTTTAGAAGCGAAGCTTCTAGAAACTCTTTCTTTTATTTTATTTGCAAGTATTTGCTCGTGTTAAATTGTTGGACATTCGAAACAATTGACTAATGAAAAACCGAGGTTATAAAGGGAAGCTTCATAGCTTTGCACGCGTTCTTTTGATTCTTCGTTTTGTTATATTGAATTCTTATCCGTTTCTTTAATTTTAGTTTTGGTTTAGTGATAGTTTCTAAGTGTTTGTTCGCGAGTTAAAATAACCTTTACTTTTATTTTGTGAAAAAGTGTATGCTAAGCATTTAACACGTCACAAGAAATAAACTGTAAATTAATTTTAATATTAATTTGCGACTTATAATATAAAGAACGAACCGAACATAACAATATATATATATATATATATATATTGCTTTTATAATACGGCCACGAATAAATATTTTTACATAATAATAATAATAATAAGTAAATAAATAAAAATTAAATAAAATTTATTTATTATTCTTATTATTATTATTATTTTTTTTATTTTAAATTCGTTTCTCCATCCTTGGTCACATTTAATATATACATGTACAAAATTTTGCTTTAAAACATAGTTATTTCATAATTTAAATTTTATTCCTATTAATACATAAGCTAAACATGAAAAATATGTGATTTTTTTTTTCTGACCAATCACGAGTAAGAATGGCGAGCGCCATAATTTTCTCATTATGTATACAAAGCACGCCATTGGTTAAAAATTGTATTGAAAATTGCATATACTCTAAATGCAAGGCGTTGAAGCGAAGCGAAACTATCGAAAAATTGAGACCTCCTGAATATTATGTTTTACTGATACTCGGGACCAATTTTTCACTCAATTTTTGCGATTTTTTTTCGTCCGCCTTACTTTTGTGAGTTATGCAATTTGTCGTGTTTTTGCGTATTGCAAATTGCATAACCAAAATTTTTAAGGATTTTTGAATTTTTTCGATTTTTTCTGTTCGCCTTACTTTTTTGAGTTATGCAATTATGTATAAAAATTCTGTTCTTTTAAGTTTTTCTTTTACGGGAATAAACGAATGATATAACCAAACATGCATGATGGGGAAAAAAAAAAAAAACAAATTTTATTTTTTTTTTAAATAATATATTTGAGAGAATAAATACATATATTATAATACAGAGAATAAATACAAATTATTATTATTATTATTATTATTATTATCATCATTATAAATTTGAAAAAAAAAAAACGGAAAACTTAATAATCGTTTGTGGCAAATTTAGTAGTTTATGTGTCACGATTAAGAAAAATATACATACATGTATTTTATACATATATATGTATATAATATAAACGTGGCCAAATATAAATCAAACGTTCAATCATCACTCAAAATTTAATTACAGGTTTAAAACGAGGTTTCTTCTATGACGACAAACAACCGAACCTGATTTTTTCTAATTATTCCTCTTTCTCGCCTTTTCCTCCCTCCCTTCCTCCCTCCTTCCTCTTCTTGCCTTCTCGCTTTTTCGTACTTTTTTCCAAAACGAAATTGTAGCCATTATTTAAATTATTTGAAAATATAACAGAAACGTTTTTGTCAAGTTGTTTTGCACCTCTCCTCTTCTCGCCAAA